TATTCTTGCCTCTCTGGGTTTTATGGCACTGTCCTCTCTTGGTTCTCCTCTCGCTGCTTGTCCGTCTCTCTCCATTCTCCTTTCTTGTATCTTCATTCTTGGCATGCCTCTCAACTGTGAGGTCTCTGTCCTGGTTTTTTTTTTTTTTTCTCTTTTCTCTCTACACTGTTTCCCTTGGTAACCGTTTTGAACTTTGATGGATTCAGTTGTCTATGCATATGATTCATAGTTGCATATCTGTGTAGATTTAATAGTTTATCATCTATATCCAGTCCCATCTATATATATATGTGTGTGTGTGTGTGTGTGTATACATATGTATACACACATATGGAGGGAGAGAGAAAGTTCCCTAATCTTTCTCCAGATGTCCAGTCCTTCATCACCAGCAGCATATTGAGCATCTCAAACTAGGTATCAAATCCTTATCTCAGATTCAACACATCCAAAGCAGAATTCATTATCTCCTCCCCCAATCCTTCCCTCTTCTGAATTCTTCTCAGTCTTCTGGAGGACACTATCATCTTTGTACTCACCAAATTCAGAACGTTCTCATCCCACAGCTCACTCTGGTTCTCACCTCTCTGAGGAACACATAGGAGTGATACAGTGGGGGGAAAGTTCCTCTGTATCACTCCTACGTGTTCCCTTCACTCCACCACCCTAATTCAGGCTTTCAGCACCTTTTATCTGGACTATGACAGTCATTTCTAAATTACTCTTCCTATCTCAAGTCTTTCTGAGCCTCAGTCTATCCTCTTTAACTAGAGGTCTGACCATGTCATCATTACCCCCTCCTGCCACTTAATAAACTATAGTCATTCCCTCTTACTGCCAGGATTGAATACAAGATGTCACCCAGCTATTAAACCTTCAAACTGCACAAAGACTTTTGGGGCATCTTGTATGAAGCACCCTGCTTAGCATTTAAAGCTCTTTCGCACCTGGCCCCTTCTTATCGTTACAGTTGTCTTATGCCTTACTCCCCTCCTCGCACTTTACTCTATGGTCCAGCAATATTGGCCTGCTTGCCACTCTCTCATGAGACACTACATCTCCCATCTCCCTTAGCTTAACACAATGCACATAGTAGGCACTTGGTAAATGTTTATTGACTGACTGACTGACACACCTACATGCTAGTGCCTTGCTTTTGAGATCACGTTAATGCTACTCTGTAGTATTTCATCTGTACCTATTTATTTACTTGCACCTAGCACAATGCCTGGCATATAGTAAGCATTTAATAAATGCTTATTGATTGATTAATTGGATGTCCCAACAGAGGTTTGATTTCTTTTTAACTGTTTTATTAATTTCTCTTTTTTATGTCACTATTACTTTTATTCCCAGTGACTCTCTGCCCTCCACCAACAATACCCCCTCCCCACCCTTAACAAATAATTACAATCAAATAAATCATCTCAACTCTTTAACCATGTCTGAAAATGTTTGCTTTATTCCATACCTCTAGTCTGTCATCTTTTCTGGTTAGCTGGAGGACCAGTTTCCTAGTCCTTCTAAGACATTATATATCATCACTGCATTGATCAGAACTCTTAACTCTTTACCCTGGATTTTTCATGGGATTTTTTTCCCCTTTGCTTTTACATGATTACAGGCTTGTTCAAAACATATGTGTATACATATATAGTAAGTATACATTTAATAGTTATGTGTGTATATATGAGAATTATATATGTGTGTACATATATGTGAGAAAGGTACAAATATGAGAATTTTGTATATATGTATGTATATGAGAATTAAAGGATGTGGGGAGAAGAAATGTATGTATATGTATATATATGCACACAATAGCATATGATAATTATATGTAATTATGTGATAATAAAATGTATGTGTATGTGTATTGTGCACACTGTATGTATATTTACACACATACATATAAGATATATACACCCATACAAAATGTGGCAATAATGAGACAACAGGTTTTAAGCCTCAGCAATAAATGCTGGTAGGTATTTAAAGATGAATGAACAAGTACTTCTTGAGTCCCTCATACAAGGTCCCATACTGATAATTCCTGTTGCGAAGCAAGATGTGGTCCTGGCCCTGAATGGATTTATGTGCTAGAGGGTGTAGGTACTACCTTTCAGAACCTTAGGCATTTGCCATGTTGTTTTTGTTTTGAATGGCCTGGTTAGTTTTAAATAACCCTGCTAGTTTCATTTTAACTAACCCTATACTAATGCTTTTTGAAGTAAAGAACACCAGATACAAATATAGTAGCTAAACTGGAACCTCAGAACTTCCTACAAAAGCAGGATGTGGTGACCATATGATTCGAACAGAGAAATTGAAACTTCCAAATTACAAGTAAAGAAACACTTGGTTTAAGTATATTATTATTAGGGAAGTGGGTTTGGATTCCATTTGTGTTCCTTGCCATCTTAAACATTTTGTTTCTTCATGAAAGGATTAAAGCATAATGATTTTAGTGGCTTAATTGCTGCTGTAAATAAGTTTGGAGTTAACGTCTGCCAGCTGGTGGTGAATGGTGACCCTTTGGGTAGTCTGGTGACCAACCAGGGTAGGAATACTCCACAGAAAGCAGTCTGGTAAAAAAAAAAAAAATTAAAGACAAGATAAACAATGAACCAGGATAATTATGCTATAGCCACCACATTGGCTCTGTAAGTAGTCTGTGGGTGTTCTGAAAAAGGCCAGCAATTATTAAGGTAATTAAATTTGGAGTTGTTATATTGGTGTAATGTTCAGTGATAATAAGCCAGATGCAGATGTTTGTAGATTTTAAATGCTCTTTTGTGCAGCACCAGGAAGAACTTTAATAGCAGCAAGAAATCACAACCCAGAGCTTCTTTGCCTGGCGTCTGTAAACTTGTCTTTTTAAAAATATTTTTATAACGGCATTTTGACATAATTAGCTTCCTTTGTAATCTGCCATATTTTATTTTATGCATTTAAAAAAATTATTGTGAGGAGGGGTCCATGACAAAGAATAAGTTAAAGGTCTCTGCCCTTATGTAGGCTTCCCAGTAACTCTTGGCCCACGTATCTCTGGAGGACTAATGATCTTGCTCAAGTAAGCCACTTTTTGGGCTTTCCAACTTGTGAACACTTAGCATTGAGTTTGGCTAAATGGAGGAATAAGTAGCATCAGGCACCTTGACATAGCTGTGTGTGTTCCTAGCCCCATGGCCCCGTAGGGCAGAGATCACCCAGGATGAAGCTGCAGCCCATTTGAAGAATTCTGAGCGACTAGAGAGAAACAGATCTTGAGTCAGGACCTAGTCTTAACCATAACTGAATAGGAATACTAAAAAGAAGCTAGACTCTGAGTAGCTGAAAAAAGCAATAATGGTCCTGGAGAACTGATTGTGAACTATACCTCCCTCTTCTTGGCTGAAAGGTGGAAGTCTTTTGGACAAAATGTGGTATACATTGTTATGCTATGGATCACTCTATAGCAGAGATTCTTAACTTGGGGTCAAGGAACATTTTTTTTTTTTTACATTTTGATAAGTATATTTCATTATAATTAGTTTCCTTTCTAATCCTATGTATTTTTATTTTATGCATTTAAAAGCATGATTGCCAGAAATCCATAGGCTTTACCAGATAGTCACCAAAGGTGTCCAAGACAAAAAAAGGCCATTTTCTTCAAGATCCCTAGTCTTTTTGATGCCCTTTCCCCTGCCCAATTTGATACTAGGTGTAACCCCTAAATTGCTAGGTATATGCCCCTTGCCTTTCTGTCCTGTCTATTTTCCCTAACAAAACTTCCAAAAAAGCAGTTGATGAATCAACTCATTCACACTAAGGCATGTGTTCTCATAAAGTTTAACATTAACCTCTCTCAAGGGCATTTATATTTTAATAGGGGATCAAGCCCCTATTTGGCTTAAGCCAAAGAAATAAATCTCTAATCGTGAAGTTTCACTTTACCAAGCTAGGGAATGAGCACCTGATTTGGACTTGGGGGGCCTGCATTTGGATCCTGGCACTGACGCTTAATACCTGTATAACCTTGGGCACATCACTAACCTCTGGGTTTTATTTTCCTCATCTGCAAAATGAAGATTGGACAAGATGTCTTCTGACCTCCCATTCTTCTAAATCTCATGAACCTAAGAAGATATTGATGGGGGGCAGGATTGCATAGGAGAGGGGGCTTGGTGGCCTGCCTGATGCCTAGGAAATCTTGCTATAGTGGAAACTATTCACCCTTCCTACTGATAACGATGCTGATAGCTGACACATACATAGCATTATCTCACTTGGTAAAGCTTCCTTACTGCAGAAGCATATTTGTAATAAGTTTTGACCCTGCTATGAGGAGCTGACCAGTGTGAAGCCTTTCAGATAGATAGACAGACAGACAGACTAGATAGTCAGTCAGACAGACAAACAGGACAGCAGATAGGATAGATAGAGAAATATATACATACATATATACTACCTATTCAGCATTTATCCAATCCTGCCTTATGGTATTAGTTATCTCCTTGTGTGTAGACATGTCTCCCCAAGTAGGATCATAGTATTATAGAATTAGAGCCAGCAAGAGACCTCAGAGGTCATCTAGACCAGCGCTGGTATTTTACAGGTAAGGAAAGTGAAAAATTCCTAAAGACAAAGAAAAGTACCCAATATCCCACTCTACTTAGTAAATAGAAGATGCTCAGGAAATACTCAGGTTAACAAATACTTCCGTACTGGTTTCCTCCTGTTATCCCTCCTACCTCCATTCTTCAGTTCCCTTCTCCCTCGAGAGGCAAAGAAAGGAAGCCAAACAAAGAGCTAAAATAGCTTCACTCTGTTTCTTCTCCTCTACTTTCAGGCACATCCCTTGGGCTCCCAGTGCACTCATCCCTCAGTTTCTGCTTAGCTTATATTGGCTAAAGGGATAGATGCCAAAAGTCGTTGACCAGGGTGAAGTTTTTTTAAAGAGAAAAATGAAGGAGTTGTTTGTATCCTTGTAGTAATGGGTCGTTTGTTTTTGTTTTCTCCAGGAATGTTCACCCTTGCAGAAGTTGCCTCTCTCAATGACATCCAGCCTACTTACCGTATCCTGAAACCATGGTGGGATGTATTTATGGATTATCTGGCTGTTGTTATGTTGATGGTCGCAATCTTCGCGGGAACCATGCAGCTTACCAAAGATCAGGTGGTCTGCCTGCCAGTGTTGCCATCCTCTGTAAATTCAAAAGCACACCTTGTGTCAGGAAATGCTGATGTGACCACTGACGTCCCGAAGTTTGAAGTCGCCACAGAGCAAGACCAAGACCAGGGGACGACCAGACCCACATCCTTTGATGAGGCAGTTGCCGTAACCCCTGGCTCACCTCTCAGCAGGGCTAGCTCTCCTCACACAGATTCCCCGGTCCCAAATCGGGAGGTGAGAAAGATCGGAGACCCAACAGGTCGGAAAACTAACTTGGATTTCCAACAATACGTATTTATTAACCAGATGTGTTACCATCTCGCTCTTCCGTGGTATTCCAAGTATTTTCCCTACCTTGCTCTAATACATACTATTATTCTCATGGTCAGTAGCAACTTTTGGTTCAAATATCCTAAAACGTGCTCAAAAGTAGAACATTTTGTTTCTATATTAGGAAAGTGCTTTGAATCTCCTTGGACTACAAAAGCACTGTCTGAAACAGCATGTGAAGATTCAGAGGAGAATAAGCAGAGAATTACTGGGGCCCAGTCTCTACCAAAACACGTGTCCACCAGCAGTGATGAAGGGAGCCCCAGTGCAAGTACCCCCATGATCAACAAAACTGGCTTCAAGTTTTCAGCAGAGAAGCCTGTGATAGAGGTCCCTAGCATGACTATTCTAGATAAAAAAGACGGAGAACAGGCCAAAGCCCTGTTTGAGAAGGTGAGGAAGTTCCGTGCCCACGTGGAAGACAGTGACCTGATTTATAAACTCTATGTAGTCCAGACTGTCATCAAGACAGCTAAGTTCATTTTCATTCTGTGTTACACTGCTAACTTTGTCAATGCCATCAGCTTTGAGCATACCTGCAAGCCCAAAGTGGAGCACCTGACTGGCTATGAGGAGTTTGAGTGTACCCACAACATGGCTTATATGTTGAAAAAGCTGCTCATCAGTTACATCTCCATCATCTGCGTCTATGGTTTTATCTGTCTCTATACCCTCTTCTGGTTGTTTCGGATACCTTTGAAAGAGTATTCCTTTGAAAAGGTGAGGGAAGAGAGCAGTTTCAGTGATATTCCGGACGTCAAGAATGACTTTGCCTTTCTTCTACACATGGTCGACCAGTATGACCAACTGTACTCTAAGCGTTTTGGTGTCTTCTTGTCTGAAGTCAGTGAAAATAAACTTAGGGAAATCAGCTTAAATCACGAGTGGACTTTTGAAAAACTCCGGCAGCATGTGTCTCGCAATGCCCAAGACAAGCAAGAATTGCACCTTTTTATGCTCTCGGGAGTTCCCGATGCCGTGTTTGACCTCACTGACCTTGACGTGCTTAAACTGGAGCTCATCCCAGAAGCTAAGATCCCGGCTAAGATTTCCCAGATGACTAACCTGCAAGAGCTCCACCTCTGCCACTGTCCCGCCAAGGTGGAGCAGACGGCTTTTAGCTTCCTCCGAGACCACTTGAGATGCCTTCATGTCAAATTCACCGACGTGGCTGAGATCCCGGCCTGGGTGTACTTGCTTAAGAACCTTCGGGAGTTGTACTTGGTAGGCAATTTAAACTCAGAGAACAATAAGATGATAGGGCTGGAGTCTCTGCGGGAGCTGAGGCACCTTAAAATCCTCCATGTGAAGAGCAATTTGACCAAAGTTCCATCCAACATCACCGACGTAGCCCCGCATCTCACCAAGTTAGTCATTCACAATGACGGCACTAAGCTTGTGGTACTCAACAGCCTTAAGAAAATGATGAATGTAGCCGAGTTGGAACTCCAGAACTGTGAGCTGGAGAGGATCCCTCATGCCATTTTCAGCCTCTCTAATTTGCAGGAGCTGGATCTGAAGTCCAATAATATACGCACAATTGAGGAAATCATCAGTTTCCAGCATTTGAAAAGACTGACTTGCTTGAAATTGTGGCATAACAAAATCGTGAACATTCCCCCCTCCATTACCCACGTCAAGAATCTGGAGTCACTTTATTTCTCTAACAACAAGCTTGAGTCCTTGCCCGGGGCAGTGTTTAGTTTACAGAAACTCCGATGCTTAGACGTGAGCTACAACAACATTTCAGTGATCCCCATAGAAATAGGATCTCTCCAGAACCTGCAGCATTTGCATCTCACCGGGAACAAAGTGGACGTTCTGCCCAAACAGTTGTTTAAATGCGTTAAATTGAGGACTTTGAGTCTGGGGCAAAACTGTATCACCTCAATTCCAGAAAAAATCGGTCAGTTATCACAGCTCACTCAGTTGGAACTGAAGGGAAATTGCTTGGACCGCCTGCCAGCCCAGCTAAGTCAGTGTCGACTCCTCAAGAAGAGTGGACTGGTGGTGGAAGATCACCTCTTTGACACGTTGCCAACAGAGGTCAAAGAAGCGTTGAACCAAGACACAAATACCCCTTTCGCAAATGGGATCTGAGTGGAGATCACACATACCCACACCCACGGGTGGGAAAGACTTTCTAGGTTGCAAATGCTTGCATACAAGTTATTGCAAGATGATGCATTAGGAGGAGAGACACCTTTAAAGGAGAGAGAGTGAGCGAGAGAGTGCAAGAGTGAGAATGAGTAGAAGCCTGACAGGAGGCGTAACCGAGGGTTCAGTGTTCATAGTGTTTCAAGACAACATTTCCAAATCTTTTTTTCTTTTTTTCTATTCTTTTTTTTTTTTTTTTTTGGTGGGAAGGGAAGGACAAATTATAATCACTAATCTCGATTTCTTTTTAAATTGTAACTTGGATGCTGCCGCTGTTGAATGTTTACAAATTGCTTGCCTGCTAAAGTAAATGATTAAATCCACATTTTCTTACTATATAACCCTCTCCCTAGGTGTCTGTATTTTTTTGGGGCCTGACCATTAGACCAATACTTGGATTAAATAAAGCCCCTAAAAGCCCACGCATGAGGGGTAGTTCTCCTACCATAGCTTTCCTTTTATGCTTCAGTTTAAAAGGATCAGATTCTATTCCATATAAAATGTACACACCTAATACACATTTGACTCATGGTATTGCCAAAGCTTGGTTTTATAGCTCTCATTTTTCTGGAGACTATAATATATAGAGAGGAGACCTGGCTATGGGGCTACACCTGTGATTTCATTGGTACAGGGAATTCTCAGGTGAAGAACCCCTCCAGCCCTGCAACTCAGGTCACCACTTTCTCTGCAACTCATATAGTTTAAAAGACTTGCCTAGTGAACCAGGAGGTTAAGTGACTTGCCTAGGGTCACAAGTCAGTATATGTCAGAGGCAGGACTTGAATCTACTTCTTCCTTTGAAACCAGCTCTCTAAGCACTATCACATGCCACTCTGATTTAAGGGATGTGACTTTTAAAAAACAAAATATTTTTTTAAAATACACATCCTCTCTGTGGCAGCTCCTTTTTTTATTATATTTTTTCAGTTAATTAAAATCTGCCCCTCACTTTCTCTCCTACCTCCCCTTGCCCAGTTGAAAAAGAAAGAAAAGCAAAGCCTTGTAACAAACACATATAGTAAAGCAAAGCAAATTCCTACGTTGGTCACGTCCAAAGATTATGTTTGGCTCATTCTACGCTCTGTGGCCCCTCACTGCTCTGGAGGTGGGTAGCGTGTTTCATCATGAGTCCTGTACAGTCATGGTTGGTTATTAGCGGGTACTTTTACAAAGCCGTTGACAGCCTTTAACAACTTCCCCAGCAATATCTTATGGGTTTACCACTAATTGGAGAGTGTGCATCCTTCAGAAATGAAAATTAATTTGTCCATAACCTCACCAAAGCAAATTAAGAATTGTGCAGTTGATCCCCCACACAGTACATTTGGCTCAAAGTGATTAAAATATTCTTTTTGCAATGACTATGATAGCAACAAATGAAAAATTAAATAGGACTTTAATTCAGTCTACTTTTGAAAATGTTAGCCTTTCCTATACAGTTTAGTGACAAGCTGTATTTCCTGTGTTTGACCATGTCTGAGCAAGGTCACATCTAGGGAAATACCAGCAACATTCACCTCTAAGGGCATCCTACGGTCACTCTCTTCAAATGTCCGGTAATGGTTTATAAGATCACTGTCAAATATTTTTAAGTCTCTCTAAACCCAGTGGGCCATTATTTAGCCAGGTGACTTCCAAGGTCCTCTCCAGGAAACAAAATATTCATTTGAAAGATAATTCAAAACTGGTGGAAGGCCATCTTCAATCCATTGGAGTATACTCATTTTGCATATTTTGGTAAATGTTTACTCAGCTAAACACATATTACGACTCCAGCTTTCCCTTAGCGCTTAGACTTTGCCCTTCGTTTCATTCCATTGTGTTTTGTTTTCTAAGTTATGTAATTCGCCTTTTCTCATGTCCTGATTTGTCATTTAGCCCTATTGGCCTTTCAACATTTTTATATTGGTAATAAGATAAGGCTTTGTGCTGTTTCCTTTTTAGATTGTCTAATGTGCTTTTAGTTGATTTTTTTTTTCAATTTCAGAATTAAAGCCAGTTTGTTTTATTATTCCTGGATGGTCAGCTGACTCTTTACCCATAAGCCGTGTTCCAAAAGAGCATTTTATATTTGTTTTTCTCTGTATGTACCTTCTGCCCCAGAGAATCCCAAGACCCAGCTTCTTTTAAAAACAGAATTCATCTAACAATGAAGTAAAAGCATGCATATTTGACACTTAAAATAATTCCAAAATGCCAAAGCTTTGCTTTCACCAAGAACATTAGACTTCTCTCTCTCACCACTGCCTTTTCCTTTTATCCCCACCCACGCACCCACATCCCATTACCTGCCCATCCTTTGTCAGAGAGGCAGACAGTTCAGTGTCCAAAGGTACACGGCAAAACCAAGGTCCTAGTCAGTCTCTGAGCAATGGCAATGATTCAGATACAGAGATTTTTACCCTTGACTAAAGCAGTACTAATGTCTCCTTTGGTCTCAATGAGAAAAAAAGGACAACCGTTATCCTTTAGGATATGAGTGAGCACCACAAAGAATATTTTGCTTTAGATGTCAAAGCCTTATTTGGATGAAGATCTGTCTTTAAAGGGTTAGTGAAGGATCGGACAATGTCTTCATAATTTCTTGCCACCATGTGCAAAACTGCAGAAAGAAAGGAACAAAACTAAATTCGTGTCTTTGCCTGTGCCTGGTAAGAACTGTGGCTCTCCATTATAACAATGGGGTCTATTCAGAGATGGGTCCCAAAGGAATGAACCTTTGCTTGATTTATCAGCTTCCACCTTCAGGTCGTGACCTAAATTAGCTTCCCTAGGTTTTACCAAAATAAAGGGTTGAAAAGACTTCATAAGAAAAGATGTGTGTTCCAATGTCCAAGTCAAACATTCCCCACCCACCCACCCAGCCAGCCGTTAAGGGCACCAGGAGCCTTTGAGGGCAGGGAGAGGTCAAGCTGTTTCAGGACCAGCCCCTTAAGGAGAATTAACACCTGAAACATGCATCTGCTGATCACAGGACTTTACCACTTCTATCTTTGCTTGTTGGTTTGGGAGAACAAGATGCTGAGGGGACGCTCGGGGTATCTGAGTTGTGCCAAACATGCAGCTGAAAAGTTAAGGGCTGATTTTGTATTGTGATTGCTATTGTTACATGTGAATCTCATCATTTTGTTTTTTGTTGTTGTTTCTTTAATAGGACTGTTTTCATGTCCTTTGAGGCCTGTGGATTGCAAAACCTCATTAGTCCGATTTAGAGGATCACTGAGCAAAGGCTGAATGCTCTGTGAGGACAAGGATTGTGTCTTACTTATCTTTCTATCTTTAGTACCAAGCACTATCTCTGTACTTGATAAATACGAGTTTACCAGAACCAACATTCCAACAAGCAACATCTTATCACAACAACATCAGTAATAAATTATAACCAAACCAACATGGTACAATGGAGTACTGACACAGTAGCCTGATGACCTCCCCTCTTTTAGATTGACTTCCTGTGCACCTTTAGGCAAGTCACTCAACCTCCCTGGGCCTCAGTTTCCCCAAATATAGAATAAGGACTTTGGACTTGATGGCCTTGGAAATTCCTTGTGCCTCCAGATCTCTGAACAGACCATGATGTTGCAAAACCTTGCCATAAACATGTTCCTATCTCTCATTCGTAACATCGTTCTTACAGAACTGACAACTTTCTGTAATATTTCGCCGAAGGTGTTCTTGTGAAACTAGTGAGCAAAGTTGGGCAGCATTAAGTTTGCTTCCATTTATTAGCTCTCTGGAGGTCAGTAGCTTTTACTTAGCCCACGGATTCTTAACCTAGGGTCTTTGCAATTTATTGTTACTTTGACAACTCTGTTTCAATGTAATTGTCTTCCTTTGTGATGCTCTGTATTTTATTTTACACATTCACTTAAAATGTTATTCTGCAAAGGGGTCCATAGACTTCTGATTGCTTTAGCCCAGTAGTGGATCCTCATACCTGTGGCATGGAGAAACTCCAGGTGACCAACCAGCTTGCTTGGTGGATAAAATGTAGAACTTCCTACTTCCCAGCCTTCCCTTAGAGGGATTATTTTGATTTCATCTGATATAGTGACAGATGACAAAGTTTTTGGTCATAGGTACTATCACCCAAGTCTCATTCCACTCTTCTCTCCATGCTCCGTATGTAATCTATACCAATATCTATCGATAGATAACTAGAGAGATGGACAGGGAGCTATAGATGTAGAGCTATATCCACCCTTCCCCCATCCATTTCCCTTGATCCCTTGTACCACATGCTATGCTGACCTCTCACGTGCCTTTACCTGCCCTCCTGCATTGTTAGTAGTGTTTAGTATATTGAGGATGTTTTTTCAAGTTGGTTAAAATGCCAAAGCATCCCTTAACTGCTCACTGTGTCCATGAACGTTGAATCATTCTAATTGGAGCTCACAATAATCGCTGTTTGGGATTAGAAGTCTTTATAGCAGCAGAACTCCCAAGATTAATGGGAGGAAATGGGGAGGGTGTGGAGAATAACATCAATACCTGTTCTTCAGTGTTAGAATCACCCTTTGGCAGTGTCTATTTCTTAATCAACACTTTGGGCTTAAAACGAATGGGCATTAGCTGTCTCCATGCAATATAAACTAGCAGCACACATGGACTGCAGAATTTCTCTTAGCTTAATGGAATAAACTATTAAAATGATTTCTTTGAACTTTGCCATTTTTGCAGTTACTTAGTTTGAATGCAGCATTCCCGACTGGCATTGCAGATGGCCAATGAGTCTCAGTTGTGATATTAAAGTAACCTAACAAATGAAAATAAAGGAGAATTAGAGAAATTTTAGTGTGAAATAAGAGCAATTATGCCTATTTTCATAGTGCGTGTAATAAGTCTTTTTGATGATGCATACATAATTTCAAGGAAGGGGAGGGAAGGGTAGCAACACTGATGCTTTCTTCTGGCACTCCAATGATGTCCCATAGGACAGCGGCATGACCAGAGATGCATTTGGAAAGCTGTCCTGAACTGGCACTGGCTGGAGGTAGCTCACCTACTCCTTAGAGGGCTTCATTGATAATAGAGGTTGTCCACTGCTGAAGATCCAGGTGCTGGCTGAACTTGCCTCCCTATCTGTTGGGTCCACTTGTCCTCCACAATTGCCTTTCTCCGCAGTCATTGTCTGATAGTTGCTCATAAAAATACATTGGCAGCTAAACTGCCTGATGAAAAGAATTTGCTGACTTGCTGTGGGTGCTTTTGCTGCTACACATGCTTTTCCTGGTGTACCTAGTTAATGTATATGGTTGGGGGTGGCCAGGGGTGGGGGGGTTGAAGGGAGGCGAGGCTGGCAGGTGACTACCCTCTGAAATTTAGCATTGAAGCCCCT